AAAAAAAAAAAAAAAAAAAAAAAAAAAAAAAACACGAGCTATAACAATGATTTTTACAAAATTCACTGACAGACGGAAGAAACTATGAATTTAAACTAGACGGCAAAGTAGAAATGACGCTATAACAACGATTTTTACAAAAGTCACTGACAGACGGAAGAATCTATGAATTAAAACTAGATAGCAAAGTAGAAATGACATTAGGAACGTATGATGCCACAGATTGGAACATGGACATGGCTGTTGAACTGCTTTCTCTATGGTGATTTTAGCAGAGTTTCTGTGTGTCAGGCGTCTTCATTTCGACATGCGACAGCAGTCCTTTATCTCCTGTTTAGGCTACCCAGAGAAAAAACAATTACAAACACGTCACACTTCAGATTGCAAATAAAACTTATCAGAAAATTATAGATCATTGAGGAAAATGTGCATATCTCAGACCTGAAGATTCTCAGCAGAAGCACGAATCATATCCCCAGGATTTGGTCTCCAAGGTGAGAATGTTGCAGAAACACGTTTTGTAGTTGCTGCTCCTTGGGAGAACTCCTTTGCAACTCCATTGACACTCTTGTTTTGCAATTTTCTGGACTGCTTTTTATCCTTCATAGACCCCATGAGGTTTTGAGTAAATACACCAGAAATAGTAATTTTCCTGGGCTGTAAAAAGCACACAAACGTTTATAAATGTGGCACGATCCAGAATTCACATATTAGAAGTATTAGAATAAGAGAACCAAATAAACATACTAGTTGTTTTTGCATACAGTTCTTGGTGTTCCCATGAATTTTTTGTTGTGGAGGGATCTGCAGTAGTATAATCCCAAGTCACGTGAAGGGGAAAATATTGATAAAAATTAGATAGCATAGTGTTACAAGCCAATGAAATAGCCTTACATTTGTGAAAAGGTTTCCTTTGTGATTCTGAGCTCCATAAAACGAACTGAAAGTTCTGCCAAAATTTTGATATGCAGTGAATGAATGGTGGTCGTCTCTCGAAATTGGATCCCAAGAATTTAATTGTGGGATAAAAAAATTTTGATATGTCGTATGATCCCAAGGGGGAGTATTGAGAAAGTTGTAATGCAGTGGCTGCAATTCAGAGGTAACGACATCCAAGTTTTGAGTGTAAAATGGCTGAGGTGGGTACTTTGAACTAAAATCTTGCACTCTTTCCGCATCATACAAAACCAAGGATACATACAGAGTCTTCCCCAGGATATTAGTTCCTAGGAAGAACCAAACTGAAGTAAGATTTGGAGAAAGAGTGACCAAAGATATAAATGGAAACAAGAAGGGGAAAAGGAGACTCGGCTTACCATTTAGCAAATGCATAGCCTTCATTGCATCATCTGAACTTGTAAACCTCACAAAGCCGCATCCTTTGCTAACTCCATCTCTTCCACGCATCACATTTGCTGATGCTACTTTTCCAAGACCGCTGAAAATTTCTTCCAATTTCCGGTCATCTACAGATACTTCAAGATTATCCACAAATAGTTCTGAAGCCTTTAACTCGGGATAATCCACATATAGTTCTGAAGCCTTTGACTCTGGATAATTAGGTGCACGTGTTTGTCTTAGAAGCTTCACCCTATCAGCTTTCTTTTGAGCTCTTCCCACAAAGAGATTCTTTGATCCTGATTCATAGGGGAAAAAAATTCATTCAAAATTAATCTTATTTTGCACAAAATAAAGACTGCAAATATTGAGAAAATGGAAACATACTACATATATTCCAATCAAGCTGAGCAAGAAGGGCACTTACCAATCAGTGCTCCATTTAGAGCTACCATGGCTTTCATAGCCTCTTCATGTGTATCAAAATTCACAAATCCAAAACCTTTTGATTTCCCCTTCTCATCTTTCATTATTACAGTACTGCAGACCTTCCCATATTCTGAAAACTTTTCTTTGAGGTGATCCTCTGTCAAATGACTGTCTAGATTTTTCACGTACAAGTTTGTGAAACCAAGTTCTGTGTCCTTCCTCTCACTCTTTTTAATGAACTTTGATACATATCTGAAGTAAACAAACAAGATATTTAGACATTGTACACTACCCCAATATGGCATGCAACAAACAATAATAATGGTCGAACGTAGAGCTGAGTGAGATCGTCATCAACAAGCTCTGTAAGATATAACTAGAGTAAACTAAGCAGAGACATTGACAATTTGCTTGATTTACCAGCTTGTCATGTTTCATGATTTTTTAATAAGCAATCAGTAAATGGAATATCAGATATAAGGAATTTTTACCCATACATCATGTCCCAAATCATTTTAACTCCACATTATCGGATTTGACATTTGTCTTAATTTGAATTATCAACAAGCCACAACAAAAAATTAAGGTTGTGGATAACTAAGTAGATGCTATAACGAGGAACTCATAGTTTGAACTCGAGATGTTTTTTGCTGGAGTGGGATGCGAAGTAATAAATAGTGAAGATTGATTTGATAGAGCAAGAAAATAAAAATATAAGCTCGAAAATGTCTACAACTTTGAAGGAAAATAGAGCAGGAAATTATCAAAATGGGCCCTCATGGTAGGATAAACAAGAACCGAAGAAGATAGCAGGGACTTACAGCTTCTTGCCTTCCAGCACGGTGCCATTGACAGCATTCAGAGCTGCCATAGCTGATATCTCGGAATCAAATTGAACGAAACCAAAACCCTTACTCTTCCCATTTTCCTCGGCGACTTTGCATGAAAGTATTTCTCCATACTTGATAAAGATTTCTTGCAACCGAGCGCTAGTAATTGAAGAGTCGAGATTCTTGACAAAGAGGTTTCCAGTGCCAGTCTTCCTCTGAATAGGGTCTCTCTGGCGCCACATAATCCTCATAGATTTACCCCTCAATTCAGTGTATCTTAGATTTGTTAGAGCAGTATCAGCTGATCAAACAGAAGGCTAATCTTCAGAGATGCAATATTATAGGGGGCCCAATAATGAATTGAATAGAATATTATAAACTAAGAGAAAGGGTGTGCATTCATGGTGTCCCAAGGAAAGTAAGAGAACAGAAATTTTACCCAAAGAGAGAGGTTAAGAGAGAAAGCAAATGAACATAGTTAAGAAACTATTGAGGCGGAGAAAAGAAAAGTTGAAACGAGGAAGAAGAAGAGGCCAAATTTTCTCATGAATGCAGAACAAGCTCGCAAAAGTTGTGATACATACACGTTAATCATGCATACAAGGAAAGAAAATCATTCACAAATAAAGAGGATATCCAAACAAAGAAAGGGTAATGAACACTGTTCACAAATAAAACATTGGGCTGAAAAATTAACAATGGGAAAATGATAATCAATGAAACAGAAAAAGAATAATAAGAATAAAGGTTCAACCTTAATTGTATAAAGTTTTTTGAATACATCTACACGAGAAAGTATTCATATGTAAAAAAAAAAAAAACACACATACACACAGACATTCACAGAAACCCAATCTTTTTTAATTTTTTAAATATCAACCCCAAAATATTGGAGCCCTCAAAATTAATTCCTAAAGAAATCATAACCAATAGAACGAACGGAACTCTAAATAATATACTTCAGTATCAGAATTCCTGTAACACATCTTGCATTTTACATAAATTGAAGTGTATGAGTATGCAGAGATGCTTAATTGCCTAGTAGAGATATCCATTTAACTATTTTAAGAAGTAAACATACATGCACGAAAAACCCCTAAAATACATAGAAAAAAACGACAGAATCTATGGTAATCATCCCTTGAAGAGAGTATAAATACTTGAACAATTTCAAATATGTATGAAAATAACATCGCAGTCATCTTATATGGCATAAGTATTAACATTCCATGTTCAAGATTTCTTCTAATAGAACAAAAAACAGAGCCCATTAAAGAGGAAGTAAATATTTCTTGATTATCAAAACAACATGAGTGGGGTAAAAAAGATAAAACTAAATGATACACATACAGTTAAAAATTCAGTCAATGTAAAAAAGATCACAGTTTCTTGCATTAGGGAATATAAAGAGACCCAAAAATTGAAAAATCCTTGTTTCTTGATACTTAAAAAACACCAAATTACCAAACCCAAGATTAAAAAAATGAATAAATATATAAATCAAAATCAAAATCCATAATATCAAAACAAAAACTATATTTATGCGTTAGACCTTTAAGAAATCCCTCAAAATCAAGATCTCTTCAACTCAACCACTTTCCCCGAAAAGAATAATAGAAAACCATAAATATTTTAGAAAACGGATGCATAGATATCAGGATATACACAAAGCATATTTATTCAGCATAAAGAACTGGAAAATCAGCAGTAAACTGAGAGAAACCCATGTTCTTGGTTACTCCAGAAAATCCACATCACAAAAAACAAAGTTCTGAAACAAAAATGGCGTATCATATGAATATATGTATAAATATACATATTTGTATTTTGTTTACCATCGGAGTGCGATTTGAAGTTGACATAAGCGTAGCAAAGGGAATTGTGGGAGAGCCTGTCGCGGCATAGGTGAACAGATGATACGGGACCCACCCTGCTGAACAACGTCAATAGATCCTCCTCAGTCACTTCCGGGTGCAGATCACCCACGTACAGCGATGTCCTCTGCGAAGGATCAGGCAATGGTGGCGCTAATGGTAGTGCCAGTGCCAACGAGGCCCTATTAGCCACTGGTGGCGCTGCAGGTGGTGGCAGCGGTTGAGCCGCCATGGTTGCCGCCATATTCTTTCTTCAAAAATGGAAATCGGAACGTCGCAAGAAATTGGACTTTTGATTATGAAATGAGAGAAAGTGAAGGAGCTCTGTAATGTATAAAGAGAGAGAGTGTGTTAGTTATAACTGTCAACTGGTACGACCTTCAGTACGGACGTTAACGCGCGTGTACCGTTAAAATCTATACTCGCCTTTTCATAGAGAAACTTCATCAACGACGTCGTGTAAGATCCTAACGGCAGCGTCTGGATAGCCATAAGTTCTATACATGAATTCAAATGAGCGAATTTCTTTCGCGAGGATGCGACTCCTAGAGACACGATTCTGGTTTTAAGGCATATAACTCGCGTTTCTCATTAATAACTTTGGTAAGAGCGTTCTTTTTTTAGGGCTCGTTTGACACGGCTTTTACTTTGACTTTTGCTTCTTGTAGAAGAGCTTTTGGAGAAAACTATTTTAATTTTTGTTTGAAAATTAATATTTAAAATCACTTCCCATTCCGGAAGTGCTTTTGGAAGAAGCCAAAAAAACCAGCTTCCTCTAAAAGCTCTTCTAACCTCCAAAAGCACTTTAAACAAAAATAGTCAAACGGTCCAAAAGCGACTTTTGGCTCTCAAAAGCTCCTTTTGGCTTTTCAAAAGTCATCCCAAACGGGCCCTTAATTGTGTTACATATACATTATCCCTTATCGATTGGTTTATCAACAGATGATGTATCAAAATTTGATTAGATCAAAATTTCATAAAAAAAAAAAAAAAAAAACCTTACCCTCATTTTCAATAACTCATCAATTGGTTAAAACTTATGTAATGGTAATTTACAACAAGCATCCTTCTTTTTTTTTTCCCCCATCAATTTTCTTACTCTTAACATTTTCTTCCTTCTCATTTTGGCCAGTTAATTTTTCATACTCGCATTATTTTTAATTTTGTGAATTTTGTATCGATTAGGTCTCAATTTGGCCACTCCATTCAATTTGGTCACATTGTCTAACATCAGACACTAATGTGGCCGACCAAAATTAATTGTCATCCGATATGACCGTTGCAAAATGACATGAAAGAAGTAGTGGCCAAACTTGAGATAAATAATGCGCAATGATCCAAGTGACAGAAATTTGTAGTATAGCGACCCAATTGACACAAATTGAATTATAGCGATTGAACAGAAAATTGGGTCAAAGGATGCTGACCGCAAAATAAAATTAACCCCATTTAGGCATACACTCGATCAAACATGTTTGCCTAAGTTTATCTCTAATTTAAATACTAAAGGCTTGTTCGGTAGTGATTATGAGAAGTAATTTTTGACCGTTAAAAAGAAAAGTGGGTCCCACTTGTGAGTGAAGAAGTAAAAAATAATGGTTAGAATAGTCAAATAATGATCAAAATTTTGATTTTTTAGGGTGAAAAATTGCTACCAAACGGGAGCTAAAAAAAGCACATATTAGCATAGCGTCACTGCAACTAGTCAAAAACTTGTCAAGTTTTTTATAGATGTAGTCAATGGTGGAAAATAAATCATAGTCGAACCCCGGTGAGTTTAATATTGGATCATCATAACGTAAAAACAACCAACAGAACTCAAAATCCATAACATTTCTTAACAATATTGCTCTTACAAAACCAATTTTCTTTAATGGATTTCTAAAGATATATCATGCTCACAAAATTTCATACATTGTGCATTGAACTGACTACAAAGTGTTGTGACTCGAACCCGGTTCTTTGTGCTCCCATAATTTTCAGCTAAAGACGTTTTATGGAAATGCGATTTATAAAGTGAACTTTATACTAGATGCTGACACTTAGCACATCATAAACCGTTGGATAAGTCAATTGGTCTTAGTGATGTATACACGCTTGGACGTTTCGTTTGGCCTCAGATAATTTTCTGGCTTTTCATTTTCGAGAGGGTTCATCTTTTGTGAGTGGCTAGGGTTTTCTGATTCGCCATTATTTTGAACATCTCATTCGAAATGATACTTTGAGAGTTAAGTCTTGAATACATGTGATTTCTTGTGTGAAATCTGGAATAGTTGTGAGAACTAGAGTTCTGGTTTCGTGAAGTCAGATCAGCAGTTTCTTGTGTGATTCGAGCCAGATTTGTTGGTTCCTTGTGAAGAGATAAGTCTCTTATATTGTATTCTGATATTAGCTAAACGTTTGTAACCTTCGTTGCCAATTTAAGGCATTATAGTGCAACCGTGCAATATCCGTTCTTGAATGGATGCTCAACAAGGGACTAGGTTTTAAAAGGATCACCGAACCTATGGGACTTCGATCAAAAAATTCCTCTGTATTCAGTTTTATTTTTTTGCAAGTTTTAATTTCTGTTATTAATTGATCCTTAGTATCTTGTGTTTAATATTGTGTTTGGGCTTTTCAGTGGTATCAGAGCACTAAACTGGGAACAAGATACCTGGATCTTGGAAGGAAGGCACTGATTTGTTTCAAATCCAAAAAATTTTGGAACTGCTTTTAAGCAGGATAAAGGATATCGAGTTTTTACAACTCACTGGGTGAGATCTTTCTGAATCTTTTCGAAAATTTATTTTCTAAATTCGATTTCTGGATTTTTCCCTTTGACTTACCATACACTAAAACCCTCTAGAAAATATTCTTTGTCCAGAGGCTCCTACGAGGCCTTGGGAATCTAAGATAAATCCAGTACGTGTGTGTATCTGGAGGGTCTTTGAATGAGAAGTCACTGAAACATAATTTTGTGATCTCTGATATTGTATTCCTTATATTATTTTTGACTGCCTGTCCTTCTGTGTTTAAACTTGTGACACTGCTGTAATTGTTATTACATAAAACTTGAAATAAATTGTTCCTTGTATTCTTGATTCATATCTAAGAACTCTGTGTTATATTGATATGGCTACTGCTAAGTGATAAGTGTATTTTCTACACTTATTCGGGGCTCTAAACTATATAATTTTATTGTTCTTTTGGCAAAGTATGATCTAAATTTTATTGTATTAATTTTCTTAGGTAAAACTCGTGCTTGGACGAAGAAGGAAAGGAAAGAAGCAAAAAAATGGCGAAAAGTGACAAAATCCAAAACACGGGGATTAAATTGGCCATTGATGGAAGTTGGAGACCAAGGCATACAAGTCAAAAAGTGGAGGGTTTGAGATGCAATTATTCAGGGACCAAAGCTGAAAATTTTCCTAGGTTTTACTATTAAAAACCATGCAGATCTTGGGGAGAAGAAGAACGGCCGAGAGAAAGAAAAAAGGAGAAAACCCTAGAGAAGAAAGAAAAAAAAAACAGCCGGGAGTTTTTGGGAGGATTTTTTGGCAACCAATTGGAGAGATTAACCGACACAAAATAGAGCTGCTGGAATTGAACAAGATACATATACTAGTGCGTGGTTTGCAACTGAATTTTCGGGAAGACATCGGCTATGGTTGGAGTATGAAAGGCAGCTGCTTGAGAAATTGTTGAGGGATTCACACATATAATTGGGTAGCAAATTGGAGGGGAGTTGACAAAAAAAAAATACAATCTGGTCGGCATCTTTGGGAGGAGAAAGAAAAAAAAAGACTGCCTTCTGCTGGAAGAAATTGCCGACAGGAAAGAAGGAGAGACACACATATACACAAAAAAAGACAGCAGAATTTGAACTTCAAAAGGGCTGCCGACTGCTGTAGTGGGAAAGATATATGTATATACATTCATGCACATGCAAAAGGAGGAGAATTGGAGAAAAACCTAGAAAATATTTGTTCTGGGGCTGAATTTTATATACTTTATACACATCAAAAGGCAGAAACGGCTGGAAGAAGATAGAGAAAATAAACCATAGAAAAAGACAGCTAGAGAGAGGAGAATTCGGTTGCCAATTGGTTGAGATTATACAAACATTGGGCTGATTTTTTTTACTGATACAACCCACGCAATTGATCGGAAGACACATTGAAAAGGCGGCTGCTGGGAGTTTAATTACACGCCAATTGGGGAAAAATATATCTATCTAGACAAGCCACACGCGCGCAAAAGTGGGGAAAATTTCGTGGAGTTAATCATGTCCCGTCAAATTTCGGTGATGTTCTTCCACTTTTATTTGTTTAATTTCAACAGTATGCTAGGGTAATTTTTCTCACGTATTGGATGGATGACAAAATTGTTTAATTTTTAGTTTTAATTCGAGACCTATGTTTTTATGTTAATTCTTGCATTGTGATTTCATTAATATGCACAATTAGATTGTTCTAATGTTTGCGCACCATTAGGATAATAAGTTGCTTTTTCGTAGTGTTGGAAAACTCACGATAGACATAACACTATTATTTGGACACATGGACAATAAATATTAGGAATAATATTTGTGGCCTGTGCGATCATAAGTGATAATCCTAATTGTCAATGCATGTTCGCCACATGAATTCGAACTAGGAATAGGATCGTCTCGTGGTAAACATAAGTTTATTATATCTTGAAAAAGAATAATAAATAATTGTGGAATTATCGATCGTCGCAATTGCATAAATTGAGATAATTAACACTACTTGATAATTAGAACTAAGCGTTACTCAATGGCGTCTGAAATCCAATACATTCACATATTCGGTTTTTAAATCAACCTCCATTACTTTTATAAATTTTAGTTTTAAAAATCTGTTAACTATTCATTCGATAGTTTTAGTCACAAACACGAATTCAAATTTATCAAATACCCTAGAATTAATCCTTATTCCCTGTGGGACGATACTTTACTCATCACAATTATTACTTGTCAATGAACCCGTACGCTTGCGGGAATTCACGCGAACAAGTTTTTGGCGCCGTTGCCGGGGAATAACGGTGTTAATTTTAGTTATTAGATATTTTAGATTCGTTTTTATTTTTACTTTTATTGTTTTTATTTTCATTTAATTTTTTTAGTTGTTTTTAGGCTACCATTACACTTTTTAGGCAACTTTAGTTTATGCAAAATCCTGTCGAGCCAGATCTCTTTCCAATAGACCACGAAATTGAAAAAACATTTAGAAATCGTAGAAGAGTTCAACGTCAAGCAAGGAGAATGGCTGACAACCAAAATCAACCACAGCATCAGGTTCAGCTTCACGAGC